GGGCTGGGTTGGGGGAGGGTCTCTGATGGTCCGTGGCCTCGGTCTGGGGACAGAACTTAGGGACGGGGCCTCAGGCTGCTTCTCGGGTCTCGGACGAGTTGAGGACAGGTCTCAGACGGGGGGCGGGGCCACAGGCTGGGGCGGGGCCTCGCGCTAGTTGAGGGTAGGTCTCCGACAGGGGGCGGGGCACCGGCTGGGGATCGGACTGGGGACCGGCCGTGGACCGCGGAGCTGCGCCCAGCTGCTGTCTCCATGGCCGTATCTCGGGAGGGGGCGCCGCTCTCAACCCGCCGCTTGCTCCCCTCACAGCAGGTCAAGGAGAAGTGGCACCTGGTGGAGGACCTGTCGCGGCTGCTGCCGGAGCCAGGCCCAAGCAAATCTCCGGGGCTCGACCCCCCTCACTCCCGAGCTTCGCGCCCGCGGTCCTTCTGCCCCGGATTCCCGTGCCCAGGCTCCCCGGGCCCCAGGTCCCCCCGCCCGGGACCCTCCCTCGTTGATTCCCCCGGGATGCTCTCCCCGGGTCCCGGACCGCACGGAGCCCCGGTCCCCGCCTGCAGATTCCGCTTCCCCAGCGGCACGGAGCTGTAGCACCGGCCCCTGTCTCCGCCGGTAGCCTCCTCAGGGCCCGACCCGCAGCCCCCCTGGTGACAGCCGCCCCTCTCGGTTGCTCCCGGGCCTCTGGCGGCGGTGCCCCAAAATGGGCACACACTCTCAGGAGCCCCGGAAAGAACATAGGGGAATTTCTATCTATATTTTTATCTTATCCTTTTAAATTTTCTATTTTTCGTTGAATGTTTTACAATGTCTGTTATACATTAGTAGAGTATCCCATGAGAGCAATGTATTGAGAGTGCTCGGAGATCCGGGCTGGCCGGGTAGCCCAGTTGGTTAGAGTGTGGTGCTGATAACACCAAGGTCCAGAGTTCCATCCCTGTTACCGGCCAGCCTGCAAAAACATTGAAAGAAATCGTGTGCTGATGGCAGCGCCACAGGCAGTGGTTTGGAGACCTCTACCTGAGGTAAGGAGGAGCTGGCTGCAGTTGGAGCATGCACACTGTGGGCTTGCTTCCTGTTCTGACTGCCCAATCCTCACACCACCTCCTCTCGTTCCTCCCTCGTGTGAGGCAGTTGAGGCTCACAAAGGTTAAGGCCACACAGTCAGCAAGGGGCAGAGCTGGGATTTCAGCCAAGGCTCTCAGGCTCCAGAGTCACCATTCCCAACCCTGACCTTACTGGGGCCTTGTTGGAGTTGAGTGCATGTGAGGGTGTTGGGTCAGCCTCTCCCCACCAGGACTCCTCACCACCCCATCTTCTAACCCAGCGACACCCCATCAACAAAGCTGCCTCAGGGGCCGGCCCGGTGGCGCACTGCTATAGTGTGCCGCTTGGGAAGTGCGGTGGCGCTCCTGCCGAGGGTTCGGATCCCACATACAGACCGGCCGCTCACTGGCTGAGCGAGGGGC